CAGGCTGACCCAGCCCAGCTCTCTCAGCCTGGCTCCAGAGCAGAGCCGCTCCAGCCCTCGCAGCATCTCCATGGCCTCCTCTGGCCTCGCTTCAGCAGCTCCACGTCCCTCTTGTTGTTGCCTCAGAGCTGGATCAGGGCTGCGGGGGGGTCTCCCCAGAGCACAGCAGAGGGGCAGGATCCCCTCCCTGACCTGCTGCTCACGCTCTGGGGGTGCAGCCCAGCACATGGGGGGGTTCTGAGCTCAAGCGCACACTGAAGCTGGGTCATGGGGAGCTTCTCCTCACCCAACACCCCCAAGACTTTTTCCTCAGGAGCACTCTCAACCTGTCCATGCCCCAGCCTGTACTGATACTGGAGGCTGCCCTGAACTGTGTGCAGGACTTTGCTTATGGCCTTGTTGAACCTCATGACATTCACATGGGTCCACTTCCCAGCTCGTCCAAGTCCCTCTGGATGGCATCCTGTCCCTCGGCCACATCAACGGCATCACTCAGCTTTGCATCATCTGCAAACTTACTGAGGGTGGTGCATCCCACTGTCCATGTCATGGATGGGTATTGAACAGCACCAGTCCAAGCACAGACCCTTGAGAGACACCAGTCAGCACTCGTCTCCTCTGCATATTGAGTCACTGACCACTAGTCTCTGGATGCAACCATCCAAGCAATTCCTCATCCACCGAACAGTTCATCCATCAGATCCACCTCTCTCCAGTTTAGAGAGAAAATGCTGGGAAGGAACATTAGAAATGGACATAAAAAAAAAGAAATTCCTCCCTAGGACTTTTCTAGAACCTGCGGGCGAGCAGGGAGTGACACTCGCAAGGTAGCACGACCCTCTCCATCCTTCCTTCCAGAATCCCATTATGTGTCCCCAAGTGTCCTCCAACAAAGACAAACCCCTTTATAACGCCTCAGGAATGGCAGTACCAGGCCATGAAGGAGCTTGGCCATGCACTGGGCCTCTGCAGTGGGGAAGTATTCATTAGGCAAAACATAATATCCTTGTACTGTGTGCCAGAAGGAAAATCCCTCCCTGATCCAGAGCAACCCAGTGGTTTAACACTGAGCATGAAAGCAAGACAGCAAATCCAGGAAGGTGATAACTAGTTCTTATTGCTGTTCCTCATTCCCAAGGAGCAGTGTCTATCATGAAATGGGAGACACAGAATGTTATGACTGACTACACCACAGCCAGAATGGCTTCAGGGGCAGTTATTTGCTCTGCAATCCCTTTCTGAACAGTTACAACAGGTTACCCAGGCCTGACTCCTCATTCAGTGTGCACATCCAGGCATGCCCTGTCCCACCCTCCCTCCATCACCCTTTCCTTACCTTTCACTGTCGGCACGGTGTTTAGTCTGTGGTTTCCCTCGGTCCTTCTGTGGGGCTGGATCTTCTAGAAAGCTGTGGTCCAGGCTGTCATCAGGAACAAAGTCCTCCACGCTCTGTACCTTTGCAGGGGCTTCAGGGTGGGGAGGAGGAGCGACAGCAGCAGGGTCTGCATTGGCAACAGCAGTTGTAAACCACAGGGTTCACCATAAACGAGAGAAATTTGCTTTTTACAGATCTATCCTGCCCAGGGTGGCAGCAGCCATAGAGCAGGGCCTTGGCTACACAGCAAGGGAAGAGGAAGGATGTGAAGAGGATACTCGAACCAGTCCAATCTTGCAGGAAGGCTCTCAGAGACCACACACGGTTGCTGTGGTTTCAAATGCACCCGGCTGACGCAGGGTCCTCAGAAACTCTGCAGTAGTGCAGCTGACAGCTCTGCAGGGACTGCTGTGACTGCCAATGCCATCAACAGGCTTGCATGGAACCCCAGCCTGGTGGGGTTGGAAGGGACCTTCAAGCTCCTCCAGCTCTAATCCCCTGCCACAGGCAGGGACACCTACCACTAGAGCAGGTTGCTCCAAGGCCTGTCCAGTGCTGTCTCTCAGACCAAGGCTGCGTGCACTCCTCCTGTGTGATGCCCCTTCATGATTCAGTTTCTTTTCCCAGACTGTTCAGTTCACCCGCTCACCTCCTCCTGCTTTTTCAACTGGAACTGTCACAGACAGAATCATTCACAATGTGTTTTTAAACATAAACCAAAACCTGTGTAACCAGAAGCTCAAGAACTCCTGCAAACAGACATGCTTTAATATAGCTCATTTGCAGAGACACCTTTACTCATCTTGAAGGTATCAGGATGAAAACTCACAAAAAAGAGCAGAACCAAGAAGCCTGAAGTCATGAACCTTTTCAGATTTTGCAGTATTTAACCTGTTTCTTCTGCCCAGGCTGCACTTCATACCCGGTCTGTTCCTTTGGATGAAGCTTTGTCTATTTCTTTCTAGAGTCTGCTCTACTAGCACAGCTTTCAGATCACTTTTGCATATCAATAACACTATTGCTAATGCCACAGAGTAGCAGTGTGAGCTAAAACACAGCCAAAAGAATTATTACTGCAAGACTCCAGGGGAAAGCTTAAACAGCAGCTGCCGTAAAAACCAAGTAGTACTTTGTGACAGTGATTGTTGAAGTGATTTCCAGTTAGCTACTCCCTAGGTATGTTCTGTAGAGGTGCAGACACTTGGAACGCTGCATAAACCTAATGCCACTGACAAATCAGCT